CATGTATTTTGTGATGCTTGTTGCAATAACAAAGTTATTTGTGATCAATGCTCGAGGGGGTACACACCCAAATGAAAGTCCCATTGATTTCTTTCTTTACTGTCCCAAGTGTACCTAAGCATACATGGCTAGGAAATGACACAGGTGATACCGCGGGTGTCCCGGCGTCACACCGTACCCGTGACCCGTAATACCGTACCTGTTTTCCCATGGGTACGGTATTACGGGTGTAAACCCGCGGTATTTACATAAACACCCGCGGTTCAATTACCGGGGTATTTAACTGTGGTATTTGACTTCTTCTATTGATTTTACACCAAGGGAGCATGCAAGAGGTAATACCGATCATGGAAAACTATCCAGACATGCACAGGACAGTGAAGTACTTTGTTTTGAAATGGAGAAACAGTGGAGAAACATTGGTGCTTTTAATCATGTGATCAGAAAATGATTCCCCAGTGAAAAACTTGTTGTTTTGGTTGCCAGTGTTCACAATATAAGTAGTATGAGAGTTATAGCCCCGGAATAAGCTGCTGGCACCATGGAAATGACCTCAAAGTTTTTGTTCTGTGTCATTTTTGCTGGAAAAATCTGATGTTCTGTGAATATACTATACTGCAGCTGTACTAGTGCCCAGAATTGGTGCCCAACATGCCTTAGTACTAGACCCACACCTCTCAAAATTTATTCAGACTTATGGGTGCTGTAGTGGTGGAGAGAAAGGCAGATCAAGCATTGTTTGTCAGTGCTTACCTGTCATCCCAAAAAGGAATCCTGTGGTTCAATTTAATCCATATCCTTCCATAATTCATACGGTACACCTGGGTCGGGCAGCCAGCATGTGCCCATAATGATATGTACCTTTTGCCGAGCTTCCGAGCACATTCGGGGACATTCCTGACCAAATTCTATGGTGTTCAAAGTGCACATTTACTAAAAATCACTCTTTTTCAACTTTTTGCAACTTTTATCCCTCTTTTAACTCTAAATGTGCATATCCCTCTCTCTGAGTGGTGTAACAGGGAGATGGAATTTTACACCTTTTATCTCTCCCTACTTTAGGGTGTGCTTGGCATCCCGATACTTTTTCACACAAAACTTCATCCCGATACTTTCTCAACCGAAATTTTATCCCGATACTTTTTGAACCAAATTTTTTTATCCCTCTCTTTTGCCAGGGTTGAAGGAGTATACATCCCAATACCTTCTGACCTTCCTTCTCTCTCCTTCGTGGTTCGGGCGCGCAACGTCACAATCACGTGCAGCGTAACTCGGGCCGTCATCCGAAGGAGAATTCGAACTGAGTAACAAATTAAATTCAATGTGGTGTCATAAAGAGTGGTAGGTGCAAAGGAGCATGTTCGGCTGAGACCAACACTCTGTAATGCTCTGATGGAGAGTGTCAACACTGGCCCGAAGAGTGGCATGAAGGGGTTCCTCCGCCTGCAAAAGCTTCAGTTCTTCCACGGTGATGGTCCAATGTTCGCCCTAAAGGCCTTTATCATGAGTGGTAAATTTCCAAAGGCCTTTCAAAGGGTAAAGGCTTTGGTGAAAGGGCATAGCAAAGGCCTTGGATCAAATTTCCCACACGCTCCAACCCCAATTTCATTCGTCCAAAGCACAATTCTAAGGCCAAACTTGTGGTTGCATATGTTGAGACTGACGAAACACCCTTGCCTTCCTGAAAGACCGCTGTTTTGTCATTAGGTCACAAAACACGTACCACACTCGCCTCATTCGGATGGCGGCCCGAGTCACTATGCACGTGATTGTGACGTTGCGCGTCCGAACCACGAAGGTGAGAGAAGGAAGGTCAGAAGGTATTGGGATGTATACTCCTTCAACCCTGGCAAAAGAGAGGGATAAAAAAATTGGTTCAAAAAGTATCGGGATGAAATTTCGGTTGAGAAAGTATCGGGATGAAGTTTTGTGTGAAAAAGTATCGGGATGCCAAGCACACCCTAAAGTAGGGAGAGATAAAAGGTGTAAAATTCCATCTCCCTCTGTTATGCCACTCAGAGAGAGAGGGATATGCACATTTAGAGTTAAAAGAGAGATAAAAGTTGCAAAAAGTCGAAAAAGAGTGATTTTTATTAAATGTGCACTTTGAACGCCATAAAATTCCCTATTTTCCTGTCGCATATTCCATGCAATCCTTGCTGACGCTCCCTGGCAGCATTAAACCATCTAGATTACATAAACAGACCGTATATTTACACATGTTTATCATCTTAACCAAATGGTCACTCGCCGGGCGTAGGCCGCAGGAAATCATCCTCCTTGCCCTCCAGCAGCGCCTCCTCTTCCTCGGTGTCGAGCTCATCCGCAACATCTACCTCAACTGTAACCGCTCCCTCCGCGCTGCTCCGTCACCGTGTTCCAGAAAAGCGTCCGCTTTGGCCAGAATCCCCTGCCAGTGCGTTCACAGGTCAGCACAGTGGGAGGGTTCCGTACCAGCGTGCTCTGCTGTCCCTCTGTCAGCTCTGCTGATGCCCCGGGCAGCAAGCAAGCCCATTCCCGCGCTGCGGTCTCGCCATACACAATCGTGCAGTGTATTTCCTCGCGCAGCAGCGGCACCTCTTTGTCGTACCGGCTCTTGTATGCGAGGGCCTTGCACCACTTGATGCATAGCACTGACCAAAATTGAATTAGTAACCGTTGTATTAGAAAATTCATAATACTATCAAAAGTTACACCGTCCTGCAGCCCCTCCTTGTTGTCCCCAGCAGTGCTAGTGCTGGCAAGGTTTGGTTCGGAAATTGGTCCGAACCTGAACCGAACCTACCGAACACATTTTTCAGGTTCAGGTTCAGCCAGCCCCTGAACCAAACACTGCGTTCAGGTTCGGTGTTCACACCTCAAGCCGCAACGTCGAACCTGAACCGAAAGTATTTAAAACTAGTGGACTTCAGTGGATTTCAGACATACTTTGGGTGTTTGGTGGTCGATTCTGACCTTCACTTCTTTAGATCTATGCCTCTGTAATCCAAGGCCTGACCTGGGGTTGATTTTGCTTAGATCTTACGGCCCTCCTGTCTAATTTCAGAATGCAAAATTTTTCAACCGTGGGATTTAAGGGTGATTTAAGCACCAGAGGCTACTCTAGACACAATTGAAGAGGTGAGTTCAAAGAAACATCCGATACCTATCATTATAGACCAGGTTTTTCATCCCCAAGAAGGCCAAATTTTGCTCAGGTTCGAACCCGTTCGAACGCCAAACCGAGCCTGAACACAGGTTCAGGTTCAGGGTTCAGGTACTGGCTGAACCGAATGCGGCATTCGAGTTCGGTGTTTGCGGAAATGTACCCTGAACTCGAACCGAACCGAACCTTGCCAGCACTACTCTGGTTGAGGCTAGTCGGTCCTGCACCAGGCTGTTCTGGATACACTCTTTGACTGATCTGAGTAAGCTGCGGAAGGAGTGCTAGGACTGCACATTGAGTTCCCATAAGGTGAAGGAACACCATGGCAGTCGGGAGGCGATTTGTTGGTTGGGTCCTCGCAGTTACTTACTGTAGTTCATATCTAAACTAAAGCTGAGGGTGGTTGAACTCTTTGAGAGGTGCATGGGCCCGTTGCTAGTTGTCAGATGGAGTGGTTTGTGACCTCACATAAGTCTGCAACCTGGCAAAGCGTTCAATCCAAATGGAGAGAACTGTACACACACACACACACCACAAATTATATATTGCGCATTAGCGTACCTTTAACTACGCAGCTCCGCAACAGAGCAATTTCCCCCTAGAGGACAAATTAAATTCTGTAAACACTACTTGACTATACCCACCCCGGGTCAGGCAGTTCACAGAACCGCAGTCCGCATCACACCGCCCCAGCTTTGACTTTGACTTCGGCCCTCGCCCTCTCCGCTTCCGGCGAGGATCATCGCATGCAACCCACACAACACCGACGACAGCGAGCGCAGATCTTAGTTGCCAACGCTGGATGAAGAATATAGAGTTGAGAAGTTAAGTGATCTTGATCCACAGAGGCATGCCTGTACTTAGCCCTCAGAGCAAGATGTTCTAAATCCAAATGCCCCCAACAAAGGAGGAGTAAATGGACTTCAATTTGCCATGGAATTCTGTTCAGCTTGATTTTTGGCAACAGTCATAATGGGGAGCGGCGGACGAAGGAAGGGGATTGCCAAAAAAAAAAAAAAAAAAGCACAAGGGCACGAATATGCCTCCGGTGGGATTCGAACCCACGTCTCCTCTTGCACTGCAAAGTGTCCTGTCCAATATTTCGAAGAGGTGATCTAACACTGATCCACAGAGGCTTGAATGGTGCTGTAGATGCTCGATATAAGTACAAGTAAGGAAGGAAGAATCAGGGGGAGAGGGAAAAAGTCGATGGTTGATATCCCATACCTCTGATGGGATTCGAACCCGGCTCCTCTTGCACTGAAATGCTCACGGCAATATTTCGAAGCGGTGATCTCATGTTGATCTACAAAGGCTTCGTGGCTGCTGTGAATGTTGGATGTACAGTAAGCAAGTACTAGTACCAGTGTGACAAAGGAAGAAGCAGGATTGTGAGTACAGTAATTGAATTGGGTCCAGGTAATGCTTGAGTTATCCAGGCCAGCGATATGTGGCATGCCGTGGAAGGGTTGACTGTTGGAGGAAAAGAAAACACAAAGCCGAAAAAACTCCTTGTCACCCGCGATATGCCTCTGGTGGGATTGGAACCCACGTCTCCTCACTACTCGTGTGTCCCTAGTATTGTGTTACAAATCCGAGGCGATCTCCCGGTGATCTGCAGAGGCTTGAGTAGGACTGTGAGCGTATGAATAAATGTGTTGAAGATCACAGTATGAAGTAGATGCAACAGTGACGACGGCGAGCACGGACTTCAACTTGACATGGAATTCTGTTCAACTTGATTTTTTCTTGTTTGGCAATAATCATCATTGGGGTGCGGCGGACGAAGCAAGGGTTGATTGTTGGAGACAGAACACAAGGGATGGAGGAGGAAAAACTCACGACTGACACCCTATGCCCCTGGTGGGATCCGAACCCACTTCTCCTCCTGCAAGGACTTCCCTGATCATTTTGGAGAGGTGATCTAACACTGATCCACAGAGGCTTGGATGTTACTGTAAATGTTCAATATAAGTATGTACCGGATCTGACAAGGAAGAAGTGGAACAGAACAGCTGTCATTTTGAATGAGGGGAAGAGAAGAAGGGACTCAGTCGACTGTTGAGGAAGGCCGAGTCCATTGTGCGGCAACCTAATTGGCAGGATCTTGCATCTTGTGTATTCGGCCTTGCACCCTCCTAAATTCGTGATGCTTGCAAATCCAACGTAAAGAGGTGCAGAGCAAAAAAGATGGTGGGGCTGGTTGAGGAAAAACAACAAGTACGAGTTATTTAAGCCTCTGGCGGGAATCGAACCCACTTCCCCTCGCTACTTGTTGTCACTAGAATCGTGTAACAAATCCGAGGTGATATGCCGGTAATCTGCAGAGGCTTGAGTAGGACTGTGAGTATGAATGAATGTGTTGAAGGTCACAGTATGGAGCGGACGCAACGGCGACGATAGCGAACTTGGTATGGAATTCTGTTCAACTTTTTTTTTTTTGTTGGCAATAGTCGTCATTGGGGCGCGGCGGACGAAGCAAGGGTTGATTGGTGAAGAAAAAGAAAACACAAAGCAGAAAAAGTTCCGCGGAGCCTGCAATATACCTCTGGTGGGATTCGAACCCACATCTCCTCTTGCACTGGAATCAGCACAATATTTCAAGTTCGAAGAGGTGATCAGACGTTGATCCACAGAGGGCTTCATTGCTTTTGTGAATGTTTGATCCAAGTGTCCACAGAGGCGTGCTTCTACTTCTACACTGGAGCAAGAAGTTCCACATCCAAATGCTCCCAAAAAATGAGGATTCAGAGTAAATGAACTTCAACTTGGCGTGGAATTCTGTTCAACTTGATCCTATGGTAGTAATTTTGGCATCGGTGATAAATGTGGGAGCGGCGGACGAAGGAACGGTTGATTGTTGGAAAAACAAAGAAAACACAAGGGAGAGAGGGGGAAGAATGCCAAAGTTTTATGCCTTCGGTGGGATTTGAACCCACGTCTCTTCTTGCAAGGGAATGTGCCTGTCACAATATTTCGAAGAGGTGATCTCACGTTGATCCACACAGGCTATGTACTGTGGACGTTCGATATAAGTGTGTAGCCGATTTGTCAAAGGAGGGCTCGGAAGTAGGGTGAGTACAGTATCAAACTGGGTTGTGTTTGAGCTGCAGCAGCGACACCACTACTTAGTATGATAGAATGCAGAATGTCGGAGGAAAGGTGTCGGAAATAAACCCAGTGAATCCCAAGGGCGTGAGAGTCGACCTCCGATTAATGGGCGGCAATGCAATGCTTGAACCCAGCAGCGGCAATCCTTATGGTTCAACTTCATTTGTACATCCAAAAACCACTCGGGCTTGGTGTTCGTGTTTCTCCGTTAGACTGGGTTTATAGACGAGTATGAGGAGCCACCAGGAAAAAAGACAGCATTAATCATCTAAGCCTCCGGTGGGATTCGAACCCACATCCTCCCCCGGGAATTTTCCTTATCCTTTGGCAAGAATCGCAGGCAATCTGATGTTGATCCACAGAGGCTTAATGAGTATTGTGGATGTTCGGTAAAGTACAAGTAAGGAAGGAAGAACCAGGGTGAAATAAATCAAGGGGAGGAAAGAAGCTTATGGTCGACATTCCATACCTCTGATGGGATTCGAACCCACGGCTCCTCTTGCACTGAAATGCTCACGGCGCTATTTCGAAGCGCTGATCTCACGTTGATCCACAAAGGCTTAAATGCTACTGTGAATGTTGGATGTACAGTAAGCAAGTACTAGTAGTGTGACAAAGGAAGAGGCAATTGAATTGGGTGATGTTTGAGTTATCCAGACCAGCGGTATGCGGAAGGGTTGATTGTTAAGAAAAAGAAAACCTAAGGTTCAACGTTGCTGGAGAGACATGCCTCCGGTGGGATTTGAACCCACGTCTCCTCTTGCAGAGGAACCCGCACATTTGATACTTGGGAGAGGTGATCTAACACTGATCCACAGAGGCTTCATGGCTATTGTGGATGTTCAATATAGGTATGTACAGGATCTGAGGAGAAAGAGCCGCAATTCTGGGGATGTTCTCACGGTTCGATTTGAACCCCGACTCACGGTGTAAGTTCGTTTGAACTGTGTCATCCCAGCTACCTCTTATTTTGGTCATTTAGAATGAGGGGAAGAGAAGAAGGGATTCAGCCGACTGCTGAGGGAAGCCAAGGCTCGGTCGAGTTCGTTGCGCCGAAACACAATTGGCGGGCTGTTGTGTATTCGAGCTTGTATAAACATTAACTCTCGAGTGAGTTCCTGAAGCCTGAATCGAAGGTAAAGACGTGAGGAACCCCAAAAAAGAGTGTAATGAGGAGGTAAAAAGAGTGTTCGAACCCCACCGTTCAAGCCTCTGGTGGGATTCGAACCCACATCTCCCCCCAGAATACAAAAGCCCACCTGACAATCGGAGGTGATCTTGTGTTGATCCACAGAGGCTTGAATGCTATTGTGGATATTCGAGATAAGTGTGTACCAGATCGGAATGCTACCGTAGATGTTCGAGATAAGTATGTACTTACCGGATCTGAGAAGGAAAAGGCGGGTGCAGGTTGGAGTTTGAATCCTGTGTTCTGTCGTCAAGTACTAGTGGCATCCGAGATACATCTTATTTTATTTGGGTCATTTAGAATGAGGGGAAGAGAAGAAGAGAGTCAGTTGACTGTTGAGGAAAGCCAAGGCTTGGCCGAGTCCGTTATTGGCAGGCTGTTGTGTATCCGGGCCTGCACCTTCCTAAATCCTTGAAGCTTGTGAATCCAACATAAAGATGTAAGGAGCCAAAAAAATGGTGCAGACTGTTTGAGGAAAAAGGCAGATGTGTTCCACTCAAGCCTCTGGTGGGAATCAAACCCACGTCTCCTCACTACTCATTGTCACTAGGATCGTGTAACAAATCCGAGGTGATCTGCCGGTGATCTACAGAGGCTTGAGTAGGACTGTGAGCGTATGAATAAATATGTTGAAGATTGGTTGAAGATCACAGTATGGAGGACTTCAACTTGGCATGGAATTCTGTTCAGCCTGATTTTTTTTTTTTTGGCAACAGTCATGATGGTCCGCAGCGGCTGAAGCAAAGGGTTGATTGTTGGAAAAAAGACACAACGGTAAGGAGCGAGAAAAAATCCTAGCCCACTGGTTTATGCCTCTGGTGGGATTCAAACCCATGTCTTCTCTTGCACTGGAGTACAACAGCAATATTTCGAAGAGGTGATCTAACACTGATTCACAGAGGCTTCATGGCTATTGTGGATGTTTGATATAGGTATGTACAGGATCTGAGGAGAAAGAGCCGCAATTCTGGGGATGTTCTCACGGTTCGATTTGAACCCAGCCCGCACTGTGGTTCTCCCTCGTGAGTTTCTTGAAGGTTGTGAATCCAAGGTAAAGATGTGGGGAGCAAAACAAGATGGCACGGGATGTTCGAGCCAAGGCTTGGGCGAGTCCGTAGTGCTGAAACCCAATTGGGAAATAGTTGTGTATTTGCCCTTGCATGCCTCATGAGTTTCTTAAAGCTTGTGAACCCAACATAAAGACATGAGGAGCAAAAAAGCCGGTGTAGCCTGTTTGAAGAAAACGAAATGAGTTCCCCAGCTTAAGCCTCTGGTGGGATTGGAACCCACGTCTCCTCATTACTCGTTGTCACTAGGATCGTGTAACAAATCCGAGGCGATCTCCGGTGATCTGCAGAGGCTTGAGTAGGACTGTGAGCGTATAAATAAATGTGTTGAAGATCACAGTATGGAGCGACACAACGGCGACGACAGCGAGCACGGACTTCAACTTGGCGTGGAATTCTGTTTGACTTGACTTTTTTTCCCTGGGCAATAGTCGTGATGGGGTGCGGCGGATGAAGGAAGGGTTGATTGTTTGGAAAAAAGAAAAAAAAAACACACGGGGATGGAGGGGTAAAAAGGCAGGCCAAGGAAGGTTCCATGTCTCCGGTGGGAGTCGAACCCACGTCTCCTCTTGCAGTGGAAACTGTGCACTCAAATACTTGGGAGAGGTGATCTAACGTTGATCCACAGAGGCTTGAATGTTACTGTAGATGGAGGATATAAGTGTGTACCGGATCTGAGAAGGAAGGAAGAAGTGGAGTGGAGTGGAACGGCAATTGGCAGAGGTGTTCCCACGGTTCGATTTGAACTTCCATCTTGCTACGTTGTAAAAATATTCAGTATTGTCGAATCGAATGAAGGAAGAGGGGATAAGGGGATGAATTGCGTGAGCTGTTGAGGCTTGGTTGAGGCCAAGTTACGGGAGACTTGCCTCCCCAAGTCCGTCGTGTTGCTGTCAACTCCCGTGTGCCTCTCCATCCGAGTCGACCTGCCGCATTACAGCATTCTTTTGTAAAGAGAAGGCCGGCAGCAAAAACAGAAAACAAAAAAGAATGTGATGAGGAGGAAAAAGACTTTTGGAACCATTTAAGCCTCTGGCGGGAATCGAACCCACATCTCCCCCGAAGAATGTCTTAGTTCACGAAACAATCGGAGGTGATCTCACGTTGATCCACAGGGGCTTCATGGCTATTGTGAATGTTCGATGTAAGTACTAGGGGTCTGCTGACGCAGCCTCATAACCTTGCTTGGACAGGGAAGCACGAAACCGATAACCAACGCCGAAAAGCACACAAAGCATTTATAGATTGGACATGTAGAATAAAAACAAGGAAATAATCACGATGCCAGGCGTACAGATTTACAGCAACAAATCAGGCACCGTCGCCTGAAGCAGCTGGACGCGCCTTCTTAGCCGCACCGCCGTCCCCAACGTTGTCAGCACCGCGCTTTTCTGCGAATCTGATCAGTCATTGCCCATACATTCACCGCAAACACTCACTACCGCGGTCACCGCCATCCTCCGAGTTAGAACCCAGTGCTCCCTCCCGCCCGGGCGGCTTCGCGACCGAAGACGCACCGGACCCCAAGGCAGGCGCCGGCTTCACAGGCGCACTCGCACCGGTGCTAGGTGCAGGTGT